GTTTGGACATGTGTTGCGTATGCCGAACCATCGTTCGCCGTTGAGAGTGCCTTTTTCCATGTCCAATTCCGGGTAGGAGAAGCAGAGAGGTGGCCAACCCTTGACCTGGCAGAGTGGTAGGAAAGAGATTACGAACGTTTGGATGCTGTCGGTGCTACTCGCCTTCCAGGATGGGAACCGCGTGATCCTCACTATGTCCTCTGGTTACACTGCCATATATGGTTGCTAATCGATGACAGTGGCGTTCTTGTTACCAGTTTCCATCCAGGTTGCCTAAATGAGTGTTTGGAGCTGTAAGCACCTCGGAATGACTGTAGTAAGCTAGCACAATATCCCTTCCCTATCCACCTCCATTCTTTTTTCATAATAAGGCTTTCAAATAAATCATAGCTGTGCGACATCGAAGCATCAGCATTGAACATTAATGCCATATTGTCCATGATGATGATGGATGCTGAGGTAAGCTGGACGGTTTTTGTGAAGGTTCACTCTCAATAGATCAGTTGGTTGCAATCCATAGGTTACATTTTTAGGCCACATAGTTTGTGTACCAGAGTACCGTTCTCTCCGTAGAACACTCTTTGCCCAGCCCTGTATCGGATGGGGACGACATAAGGGCGATCAGTCCATATCCTGGCAACGAAACATGAAAGTTCGCCATACTCAAATGAGTAGCGATGTTAACTGTCGTCTCCCCGGATGGGGTTTACCGGACTAGACAAATCATTGGTTAGTTACCATTACAAATATGGTTGTATCACGCGGACAATGACGGTTTTGTGTCAAAGCTATCGTAGTCACTGCGTACCTTCCACTTCCCGTCACACTGAGCAAGCGGACCCACTTGTCAATGCACAGATTGAGTCATCGCATGACTCCTTCCCTGACTGTTTTCATCCTCAGAGAATCAAGATGTGGGTCCTGGAACCACTGCTGTTTGGTGCAGGGTTTGTGAGCTGAAAACTGAACTGAATTAGCTGACAAGAAAATCCGCCAACCAACAGACCAGGTTTTCTCCTAGAATATATAACCCACCAGTCAGCCTGACAGGACATCTCGGTTTATTGGGAGATGTCGGTCAATACCTAGACTGCTCCGATCCAGAATTGGGTGACCTGGCAGTATCTCAGCCCTCGTGCTTCTTTCGGGTGACATGGCAGCTGGGCATTGAAGGGGCGTTACTGCTAAAGCACATATGCAACAACCATTTCATATCTTTCCCTTTCGAGAAACACAAACAACTTGGTTATACACCCACGATTGTGTCTACACTTGAGCTGTCTTCCATTCCGTGCACAACGGATTGCGGCTACCGAATTAGGTCAGTTTACCATTGCCATATGGTTCGTATCTGGTGCTCTTTACTGGATTCAGTTAGCTTGATTGTTATTTCTGAGATTAGTACCCGTTGGGATCAAGCTTTACTCCAGCAGATCGTTTGACACAAGAGTAAACTGTTTTTGTGTGGCACCTATCCAACCTGTCGTTCAGGAGAGAGAGGTGAGAAGTATCAGTAACAAATAATTCACTCTAGGGGACGCGACTGAAACCCTATGATGTCACACTTGGATTTTGGACTGTGACGATGACATTTCACAACCTTAGGTTTGTTTTACACTACGCATCCAACTCCGTATTCCATCCCCCATCTGCCTCACTGGGTTGTTCTGACGCTTGCCCTATCCGATTCCGCTACAATTCCCCCGCTGCTTTGCAGATACCATAACTATGCTGTTCCATTTAGCTGAGCTCGGGATGGCTCAGTGGTTAAAGCACGAACTTACTGATAGGAAGCTCCCTGGTTGGAAATCCACCTCTGGATCTTGACGGCCCCTGTCTTAGCTTGAACAGCCTGGCAGTATCTCACTCCTCGCGGTTTCTTCGGGTGACATGGCATCTAGGAACCGAAATGGTGTTACAAATGAACGATAATTACCATTGTTTTGTTGTACTGTTCCATCAACTGGGAACTAATGCATCAGTTGTTGGGTTCATATCCACGGACCTTCATCTTTGTGAGAAATAGTAACTGACGATGCTAAGCTATCACACACCCTTGGGGGAGAAGCACTCCAGTAAAAAGTTGAAACAAAGGGGAATGTTGGAACTTTGGTGCAGAAATAGTTTAATTTTCTGAGCGTAAGCAAATAGGAACAGGATGCCTAGACCTTCCAACAACAATGACAATCGCATCTGAACATCGTGTTGGATGCCGTCAGCGGGATTGACCCATCATGCTTTGCAAACCTTACGAAATATGAGTCCAGCACACAACGACAAGCTTTTTCTAGGCATTCCGGTATAGAAGTGGCAATATTCTGCTTACTGGGATCGGTTGTGTGCCATGTTCTGCCGAGTTCATAAACACTCTCAAGGGAAATCGCCTGTGTCTCAGCTAGATTCGACGGTTAGACTTTGATTGCTTTTATTTCACTTTGTATTGTCATAGTCTGTCCTTGGCGGACTTTTTGTTGGCATTTATTGGGAATAGGTTACATCTCCGATAAACAGTATTTTGGTATATGTAGTACATGTCAAATGCTCTCACCCGCAGTCTCCCACTCTTGCGCTTAGCAGAAGCCGTCAGCTGCACTGGTGTTCCCTTCCATCTCTGACACAGCATGCTTTCGTATACTTTTCACATCAGAAGGCCAAGTTCCTTGCAGCACTCATTGCCCCTGTTCTACATCCTTTTTTTCTACCACTATTTGGCTCGGACTACCTTTTTCAATTTATTCTGTCCGCTGATATTTCAAGGGCGACTGGTCTGGATTTTGTCTCAACATTGCTCGTCGGTTTCTAACAATTCCATTTCGACTGACTTCTCAAAAAGTAGATATGCTCCCAGTCACCTGGAGGATATCTCATATCCCTCTGATCACAAAACATGCCTTCTGATATGAATCGAACAGTCATCAGCCTGTCTTTGTCACGCTTGGTCTGTCTAGGCTTTTCAGCCGATCACTAATCGCGTAGACGGCTTCCTCCAATATGATCACTTACTGATCATACTTATGATCCAGACTGGTCCCATATGGTTTCAGTCGCTCCATTAGTTATCTGCTAGTGCAAGTATTACATGTGCTTGCAAATGCTTTGTTGTCAATCGGAGATACATCATCACTGAGCGCACTGATCCCAACCGCGCTCCAATGATGTCTTCTCGATTGATGACGAAATGTACACAAGTTAATCACGGGGTTGGACGAACAGATCATTAATCCTCTGGTCGAAATTTGAGCTACCACTGTCTGAACACATGTGTAACCTTCCTAAAACCGCATGTTTTCTGACCAATGCGTACTTCAGTCCACTTATTTATGCAAAAGTCGTTAATGGGGATTTAGATGATCCCGGTTGTTGTATGTATACTTTTCGCGCGTACTACGAAGTGCGTCCTGCAGAATAATACGGCTCCGAAGTTCACTTTTACATTAGAATGCCCAAAGAGAACTTCCGAATATTGATCCTGTGGGTACTACGGAGCCTCTGTTTACTGTTGGATCTCAAACTTCATCTCGTTCGGTCAGACAAAATTTAGCGTTCGTGGCTGGGATGAGAGAGCGGTTAACCCTTAAATTTACTGGCTACTTTTATGTTGTTTGGCCCCTCTGCCACTTCATGGTTGTTCTCATTGCTTGGAGCTACCTAGGTGTATGGGCTGGGAGCTTTTCCATGAGGGAATGCCGAAAGACACGTACACATCATNCACATCATTTTCGCTAAAATTCTGGTGTTTCCGCGTCTTAAAGTTCGGCTTTCGTGGCAGAAATTGTCCACTAGTGTTTATTCACGGTTAATACATCGTATGGCGACGAGATAGCTCAGGAGTTGGCGCCAGCTTACGGACGGAAAGGCCCGTGGTTTGAACCCAACCTCAGCATTTCGACTGCTCCTGTCTGGACTCAGGCAACCCGGCAGTATTCCATCCCTCGTGTTTCCTTCCGTTTCCACAATGCTGTCTCGGTTTCTCAAGTTCTTTTCTTATGCTGAGAAAACCAGGAGCTCTTATGACCATAATTTGACGTCTTGGCAATCTGACAACCCCCTCACTACAAATATGTGACCAGTATTTTACCGTTTTGTCGACAATTCCCCGTGGTTATTGAGCTACGGTTTCTACCTTTGCATAGTTATCAAACGGTTCTAGGTTTTTAGTGAGGTAAAGTACTTCCATTTTTCGACAACTGCACCTATCTGCACACCAATTTGGCGAGACTCTTCTGAACCTCGGCTTAAATCCTCGCTTTATGATATCCTCCAACCGAATATGCAGCACGAAGGCCACATAGCCTGTTGGTTATTAGGATATTCAGGATATCGTTATATATTTTCATAAAGGAAACTACCAACAAGCTTGCTGAAAACTTCGACAGCGCACCTCCGGTTTCTCGCTTCTTGGGGCTCATCAGGTAGGCGTAGTCCCCGATTTCTTGCCAATCTCATGTTATCCTGGAACCCAAATGATCCGAAATTTGACAAATGCACTCATCTACATACCAATTTGGTTTTCACGGAAAGCTCATCTAGTACCCAGCTGAATATCTTCTTGTCGTATTTTGAGCCACGGTTTCTACTTTTGTATGGCTATCAAGGGGTTCCACGTATTCAATAAAGTGAAGTACTTTCATATCTGTTTCGCACCTAACGGCCACACATTCATAAAACAACGACCTGTTACCCATGGGCTATTACATCCGTCGGATTGCAAAATCTTCAGTCTTATCAATCGGTTAGATCCACGCAGGGATCCGCAACTGTCTGCAAGTGTATAGTTATTTACCCCGTGTAAAATCTCAAAGACTTCTGGACATAAGCTATTCACAAAACCTGTATCTGCTTGGCAGTCTTAAAATGGCTTTGGTTTTGTCCAAATGCTGTGTACATAAAGTCCATGAGCGCCCCTGTCGTTGCTTATCAAAGATATTTCAACTGTTCCTGTATATTTTTGGCTTTAGCTGGTATTGGCTTCATCTCTTTTATGCATGTATTTCTTCCAGCTACTTGAATGATTTGTATACTCTTGAACTGAGACCAAACTCTTCGGCTATGTGCTGGGATATACCAGTTACATATGGTCAACCACCATCACCTAGAGAGTCTCACACAGCAGTCGCTTACCAGGTGTTGGACGGTCTTATCAAGAAGTGGCGTTTGCTAGTGTATGGGGGAATGTCAGGTAATCGCCTGGGAGATCTGTGGCAACTGGAGATCGATTCGATGAATTGGGTCAAGCCAGTGGTGACCGGAGACCCGCCGGCTCCACGTAGTCTGCACAGTGCATCTGTAATCGGCAACCGGTGAGTTTTACGACAGTCCATTCATTCCGTTACTGTTTGCAAAGTGTTACTACCAATTTCACGCCCTTCATATTCTCTATCTACAGCATGTTCGTCTTTGGAGGCTGGGTTCCTCTGGTTATGGAAGAGATGAAGATGGCTACACAGGAAAAAGAGTGGAAATGTACAAACACCTTAGCCAGTCTAAACCTAGACACAATGAGCTGGGAACCGTTGGCAATGGAAGTATTTGATGAAAGCTTTGTCCCTCGTGCACGGGCAGGGCATTGCGCTGTCGCTGTCAACAGCCGGCTCTACATATGGTCAGGACGAGATGGCTATCGGAAGGCTTGGAACAACCAAGTTAGTGAAACTGTTCAAATGTGTAATAAGTATCCATCTATGAGCATCATCCTCGGCAAATATATGTGTGGTCCTCGTCTGGGGTGGTCTTGCACGAAATAACGAACCGCCTTGTGTTGTTATGTCTTCTTGTCTCCACCCACGGACCATTCGTACGGTACATTTTTTCACTACCAATCTACTACGTGTTCTTACCAATTCCTCCCATCAAGCTTTCGATGGAACTCGATCTCTGTACTAATAGCTTTTTCGAGTTACACTGGCGAAATTGCCGGTTGTGATTGTTCAACTACCATATAGACAGCGCGTACCTGATGAGCCTCAAGAAGGGTGAGCCGGGTCGTGGTTTGTCGAAAAGTGAATAGTTTCCTTAATGAAGATATACTGTGATGTCTCGATTATCGTATCAACTGAAACACAGGACGGCCTTTGAGCAACACATCTAGTTGAAGAATATCATAAATGAGAGAGTGAGCTGTCTCCTGTGAAACAATTTGAAATGCAAATGGGTGTATCTGTCGAAGGCCGCTAATTTGCTGCCAGTTTGAAGAAGTTTGGTAATTTTTAAATGAGATTTGTCCCTGTAGGGGAAGCCAATCGATGCTAAAAGCCGTGAAGCACCGTACAGCTGCTTTATACTCATTGGGAATCATCAACAATGCGCATCTCACGAGACGGTTGTGTTTAGACTACTAGCAAAGAAGTTGCGTGTTTGAAACTCCCCTGATGCACACTGCTAATAGTTCTCAATAAGGACAAAACACCTGTAGAATGCTTCCCGGCTTCTTAGCATAGATTGACTTCACTTACATGACGAAATCTCCATTGAAAAACTAGCTGTTCCTCTTTGAATTGATTCCTCATGCGTTTTTAGATTAGTTAGTTTGTGCTCCTGGAGCCCGTTTAATCTTTTAACCTCGTTCGAAATAACAGTGGCAGTTATAACCACTGTACAACATATACACGGTTTACGGATAATGATAATAAGAATAATACAGATGATAATAATGAAAGAACTGCGCTGTTGTTTTGTCCTATTGGTCGGACGCAGTACAAAATAGCCAGCGAGGTGTGAGTACGCTAATACTTCCTTACCTCTGTCGGGTCGATAGGCTTGTAGCTGCCGTTAGGAGAAAGTTTGATGGAAGTGTTACTAGTTACTTACGTCTCGCAGCACATTTCATCTTCTGGCACCGTCCTACTTTACGTGTCATGTTTGTGTTTATTACCATGTGAATTAAACTTTGGAAAAGTTCATTTCAGCAACATTCAACTTAATGCCGACGTACGGAATCTTCAAGCCTTTGCCAGTTGTCTAGTTCACTTACCGTGGGCATCTTTCATCTCAGATTTTTTCCACTGTGTTCACTAACAGGTCTGTTTCAAGGACCTCTGGTTTCTCGAGACCGATCGGCCTCCAGCACCGACTCGCGTCCAGCTTGTTCGTGCTGGTACCCACAGTTTGGAAGTAACCTGGGGCTCTGTTCCAACGGCTGATGCCTACGTTTTGCAAATCCAAAAGTACGATGTGTCACCATCACCGGCCTCCTCCAGCCCCTTGACGTCGGTAATTTCTGACCAGACTGGATTCAGCAAGCCTCCGACCGGGAGCACTGTCACAACAATGAATTACGCGAGGGCGAATGTTGTGTCTCAGGTTCCGCAGGTTAGTATTTGTGTTACGACGGCATTCGTTCACCTCGTCGAACTTTCCTTAAAATCAACCTTATGCATCCCATAGCTTGTGCTCTTTATCGCCCCTCGGATTGTTGTTTTCGTTAACTTGTTGCTCCAGTTTTGCTACTGATAATCGGCACTTATTTATTCTTTAGCGATTAATATCGGGATACGGCGGTAATCTGCAGTCGATAGCTGCTGCTGGTATGACTCCAATCATGGCAGCACCAGCTGTTACGCCGAACACTTCACTACACGCACTGGCGAACGCTGCAGCAACCGCAAACACGGGTGCCATCTCCCTTGCCAGTCGTGTCACCGCACCTGTCACTAGTACGGTTGTCTCTCCTTCTGGAACAACACTGGGTGCTCCTCGTGCGCCAACCGTCATGACTCCGACAGGTTTGAAATATACACCTGTTCCAGGTAGTGCGGTCACCGGACGAGCAGCTGCAATGGCTGCCGCCACACAGCATACTACCATCTCCGGAATAAGCACGACTGGGGCAACTATCATTCGTGCTTCTCCTGGCCTTTGCGTCCCTGGCAAACAACAGGTTTGTTCCTCTCATTGACAGTAAATCATATCATTCAGTATCACTGTTTCCCAAATTTTGCACAGTTTCAGAGTACGTCTTTCGTGTTGGTGTGGCCAATCGGTCACTGTGGACACGTAAATTAACAATGTCGCACGGGAAGCATTTGGTCTGGACACCAATTTTGAGATCGTCGTAAGGGGTCTGTGATTGATGATTTATTTCGAGGCTTTTAGACGTGAAAGCACGATATCCAGGGAACCCCAGACGCGTTTGACAGGATCCGAGGCAGTGACTGCATCCACCATATTGCACTGTCCTTAGCTGTTTGGCGGACTTCAGATAGCTTCATACCGAATGTCCATGGTCGTCAACTTCGTTAATTTTGAGATCTATAAGGAGCTTGTGAACAGGGATTTTTCATTACAGGCGATTAGAGGACTCTACTACAGCAAGCCGCACTCCGTTTCTGAAGCAGGGCGGTTTGAGAGGGAATATTCGATTCAATCCTCACGTTTCCTGTTTCGAAGGGTTGGTGTTATCCCGCATGAACTCATTCTTAGCAAGGACATCCAGCATCACCGTCCAAAAAGTACACCCTTCTATGGATACTCGAGTCAGACCATAGGACGTTCTCAGTTGAGAGTGCCATTTGCAAAGAAGATACCTATCACAGAGGTGAATAGTCATTTGTTTCGTCATTCCTGCCACAGACGTTTAATCAGTTGTCATGGTCTTGATTCAACCAACTAACGCGATCTGTTAAATGCGTGTTGTTAAGTTGAAGACATTACTGCAGTTGGGCTCAAGTCATCGGAATTAGGGTGACACCGACTCAAGTTCTTTTTCTTGTCCAGTCCCCTTAATTGGCCATGCTGATTTGGCCGATATAGATGAACAGTGCGCTTCTCCTAGATTGGCGCACACGTTTACTGTTGTACTGATAATCACACAACACTAATTGTGACCTTGTTTATGTGTATTTCCCTCAGTTGACGTCATATAACTGCCCCGAAATGTCGTATCGCATGTTTGCGCCACTAGCTGACACCTTTGAATAAGTCAGAATCAAGCGGACGGTCATGGTTAAGCGAGTAAGTGTAAGTCGGAATGACGAAAATTGTCCAGCTGCAGCACCATTTCGGTGACTAGCTGCCATGCCAACCCTAGGCACTAGGGCTGGGATACTGCCAGGTTGCCCAAGCCTAGACAGGATCAGTCGAGATGCAGAGGCTGGTTTCGAACCACGGACCTTCCTGTCCGTAAGTTGGTGCCTCAATCACTGAGCTACCTCGATTTGGATGAGTCTTTGAATCGACAAAGGAAAGACATCTGTCCACTTCCAGCTGGTTTATCATCTTACCCATCTTCATAATCAGCACAGACCATTATATTGCTCCCTCCCCCAAGGAGAGCACATCCTCGGGACTAACCAAGACCGCACTCTTTGTGAGAGCATACGAAGGTTAAAAATTCAAGTTTATGAAAGTTCTCTGTAGAGCTTTAAGGAGGTGAACAGAATCGGCAACTATATGGTCCTAAAGATTCCCTGAGGGTAGAACGCGCCATAAGTTAGGTGCTCACAGCTGGCAATGCTCGTTTTGGATAATATCAAAACGTTTCTGAACTCTAATCACCCATCGTAGACTCTTCTTCCCACTTCCACTTATGACCACCGGACCGGCGCTTTTCCACAAAATTCATAAACGTTTCGATGCGTATATCTTCAACCACGCTTAATTTTTATATTATTTGCGGCGCATGAAACTCCCGAGTTCATTGTTGTAGTGAATGGATTTTGGTAACGACAGCCCCTAGCACCTGAATTTTGCTGATTTAATGGATCCCCATTTTTTCTTGGTTCTGAGGTTTCGTTTACTAGGGGAAAATTATCATTGTTTCCGTTGTGCCCGGCTGGCGCCAAAATGAAGATATGAAGGTTCCTTCGTCGTGTTACGTGAAGCGAGGAGGCCTACCAATCATCTGAATAGGATTTGAATTGATGCATATCAATGCTGTTGTCCTCAGTTTGAGCACATTGCGACACTGTAAAGTTGGTTAGGCGGTCATACACAAACGTTACCTGCCCCAAATGAGTAGACAACCGTGCATGAAACGGAATCTGTACAAAATACAATAGTTCAGCGGGTGTTCTACTTGAACCCAAACTGGGCTGTCGAAGAGTTTTCAGCAACCTTGTGAGTAGTTTCCCTCATGAAAATAAACTGCGATGTCTCGGATATCGTGTCAAATGAAACATGAGGCGACCTGTGTGCAGCACATTCAGTTGCCTGAGAACAGCATAAACGAGAGATTCAGTTGAGTCTATCGTGAAAACCAAATTGATTTGCAAATGAGTGCATTTCTCGAATATCACATCATTTGGACGGACGTGTTACGTGCAGACTACGAACCAAACGAAGGCATGCCCTGATTGGTCAGAGTACCAGCCAATCTGGATCGAGTATCCTTAGCACGACGCTTCTCGCCCACTCACGGAGATTCCAGCACAACCTTTTGGAGCATTCTGTCATTGCCTTATAAATACGGTTGTAGTAATTTTCCTTTGTCTCTATAAAGGACTGTCTAAAGCTACCGTGCCTTTTGATATACCATAGTGGGCGGAGCAGGAAGCCAGGGACTGGCATATAGTTGGACTACCGTTCAGCAAGTCGGGACATCTGCCCTGGAACAGTTTCAATGTGATAGCTGAATTACCATCACATTAACTGTCCAGTTCTTGGTAATGTCTCACATCCCTTTGTGTTTAATCTTAGGTCACGTTTGAAATATAATTTCAGCATCATTGTGATCAACGCTGACTGCCAAAAGAGTATCTTAACCAACCATCTCCATGTGAGACTTCCCTACGGAAGTATTTTTGCACTCCTTAAGACCTAGTGAATACAACGCATGATTTGGTTATGCTATTTGCTATATTCAAGCCAGGCCAACAGAATAACCTTGCGGTATCGTAACATGGGTTGTGTCATGCAGTAATTTAACGAGTGAGCAGATGAGCTACGTAAACAAGCTGATACATTGATCAGCGGAAACCAAACTGAAAAACAATGGAATGTACAACTAAAGAGGGCGATCCGTATCGACTATTGTCGGGTGTCACATTCCTTGGAACTGGTGTTCAGGAAGCAGTAAAACAGGAAATGTGCGCGCCTAAAAATAGTCACATCGATGCAGCATGAACTGAATGTTGCGATGGTCCACCTTAAGAATTTTTTATACAATTATTAACACATCCGGTGGATAACTGACCTGCATCAGCCGAATGTCCCTTGATTTTATATCTGTCCTGAGGAGTTTATGGCGGCTGACTGCAGTGATCGGTCGGGTTTCCATGAGAGATGTCCAGGATTTTGAAACAATCCTGATCTCGGCAGCGCACTTCATTTTCTTTGTTGAGATCCGAAGCGGCTCCTAGTTACATTTGACAATGTGGATCCGAGTATTTGGTTGCAACCCTTAAAACTGCATTAATACCGGACCTGGCGAAGGCAGCAGAACAGGTTTAGCAAGCTCGTCCTTAGAATCAATCTTCTATAAATACAGATGCGATTTCTCCGTAAACATAGCCAATAATATCTGTTATATTCTCGACTCGTTTCGGCGAAATTACCAAGGTCAAGAATTGTGGTTTTCCACGTCTCGGCTGTCTTTCCTCCCAATAAAATCTGAGCAGCCCGGTGTTGTCTCACCCTTCATGCACAGTAGGGTTATATGACCGCTGTGTTCCAGAGGAAGTCGACGATGAACGAATGAAGCACTTTGATCAGTCTCTTCCCTTCAACACTGGTAACAATGGCGCTTTACAGTATAGATTTGTTCTGCGTTTTTATACCCACTTTCTAGGGGCCTTGTCGCGTCCATCTAATGTACGTGGATTACTACAAACCAAGCGCACTGCTAGCTGATTCCGAGCTGTACATGCGGAACCAACCAATTTTAACCTGACCCTCAACGAACATCAAATAGAATGGTCACGCATGAGTAACCAACTCCCCACTCCTAGGCTTCTTTCAACCATGCGAATAATGGTCTTCACCGACAGGCGAAACCCATGTATACCGCGCATAAATGCAGTGAGCCTATTTTCTGAGCGTCTTTTATACTACTCTTATCAACTACCAGGTGATCACTGTTGGGGGCAAACAAGTGGTTTCTGCCGTTCCCATTGGGTCCCCAGGCGTTTCAATCGCTCAAGGCACCAATCCCGGAGCAGCTTCAACCACTGGTTCCGTCGTGCACCTAGTAAAAACTGCAACGGGCCTGATCAAACCCATCAAGTTGCTTTCAACGTCACCAACACCTACAGGCTCCGTACCGAAGACGATAACAGTTCAGCACAATTCGACAACGTCCACGGGTAAGTCTGCTTTGATCTTTTCCTATTCTGTCCTGTGAATGTGTTATGACCGTAAACGTGATGATACATTGTCGTATTCTGACTAGATGAGCTACCACTGGCTCAGCACCACGGTTGATTCAGGGTGGTCTAGTGAAATCCTACTCGCATCTCCACGTGAGTATACTGGGACTCATTTCGCAGTGATGCTGTTTTGAAATGTATACCGTGAGTCTACCATGTAGCTAAGGTGTGTCACAGCTTTCATCGTCGTAAGCGGCTTACGGAGTAAGTATGGTCCCATGGTCATAGACTCACTGTAAATAAAGTAGAAAGCCGAGCAACCAAAACGGCAATTACGGTGGTGCCCGTAAAAACCTGTTAATTCGAGTCTTGAAACTTTGGAGATTTTAAGGAGGCGGTAATACGGTGGCGAAGCGGAAGTTCCACAGAATAGTCCTTCGAGGGAGAAGGAAAGGGCAGGGTTATGTCCGGCCGCTAGTAACCTTGTAGGGGTGACTGGAAGAATGGAGACGAGTGGAACGACTAATGATTGAGTGGCGAGGCACAGCTGAAGCAAGTTCGGATGAACAATTACCATGATAATGATGATGAAGTGGAGTAAGGGATGTTACATCAAGACATTGACAAACAGATTGGAATTTGTCGCCAAGGCATGAAGGAGCATGTTGTGTACGACGAGGGTCGGAGTGCAGCGACAATCAGAATGACAATGGAAAAGACTGAGGGCCCGAAAGCTAGGCTTTATTCATCCAAAACTTTGACACTGGGAGCTGAAAACGGAAGAAAGTGATTTAGCAATAAATGATGAAACGTTTGAAAAACAGGGCAAATATACAACAGAACAACGGAGCGAATGTTCTTCCCTTTGGGATTGAGAAGTAGGCGAAAAGACTTGACGAGTGTTCTAGGATGGGGTGAATCTGGGAATTACAGACAATAGGGATTTAAGGGTGCAACATTCAGTTTCGCTCTCAAGTTTTGTTTGAATTTAAAATTCGCGCGCGGATGAATGCCTAATTCAAGCAAATACTTGCAAACCGCAGTGTATTTACTCCTGCCATGATTGTGCACAACTAAAATAAAATGGCTTAGCTTGAAATGATCTTGGCAATCGCATCGGAAAATTTAATCAGGTGTTGAATTTGTCGACTAGGCTGCATAGCCGGCGCGAAAATGGAACATCCAAGTCTACTGGACTCATGATGAGCACCTAACCACTATTTAAGGACACGTACTACGTCTCCACATTTGCTTGTGATAGTACGGTTGTGCACCATGACGAGTAGGGAATGGAGGCACCTGGTACCGACTATTCTAAGTACCAGACCAACCAGATGAAGTTAAATTTTAGCTTCCGGTAATTACTGATACCATCAGGTTTTCAGAAAACGCATCTATATTTATGGCCTGTCAACAGGTGTGTTGTGGAACAAAGCCCACCGGTGTATTCTGCTCAATGAACAAATAAACGGACATCGTAGTATGCATACCATCCGCTTCTAAAAATTTCTATTCGCCTCGTTGCTTAAAAATCAATAAACGTCTCACCTCTTGTCATATGAAATGGACTTAAATCAAACATACGGATTATCTGGGGCTCACCAGATAGGCGCAGTTTCTGAGTTTCCGTCAACCTTAGGTTCTACTTGAAACCGAATTGCACGAACTTAGCAAAACACACTCACTTGCAAACAAATTTGGTTTTGTGAGAGACTCACCTCGGACCCGGCTGAATCTCTCGTTTGTGATGTGACGCATACATGCGTTTTCAACCAAACTATTGTGAGCCCAGCTTTGAGGTCAGGTCAACAACTGCTTTATGCTTTAGGTGATAACTATGATAATTCCTCATCATAACACCAGTACGGTCAACGCATATCATATTCGATAGAAGTTATCAAATGCGAAACGGAATTTGTGACAAACAAAGACGAGGGTTCAAGAAGGCTGTTCAAGTATGATATAATGGAAGGTCATGTTCCACTGAGTTTTACTTAATATTGGGCCATATCAGGAAGTATGGAATCACGCAATGTAGTAATCCTGTTTGACGAGCTTTTGAGCTAGGGTCTAGTGCAGAATGTCAATCGAGATCCAGATGGAACCAACTTTGAAAAAAATGGATTGTCTGAAGAAGATGTCCCGATGGCGAATTATTCTTTTCGGCTCTGTTCGGTTCAAACATGATGTACGCGGGACTTTTCCCAACTCCTTTTTAGTCATTCGATCTCTCTGGAAGCAGACATTTATTAATCTTATTTTATCGCTACTTTCGAAAATACCGGACGCTTTTTTGTGTGGCAAACGATGTCTATAAGCATAAAAATTTTCTGTCTCTGTTTTGTTTTCACCATGAAAAGTGGTGTTCCGTTTCTTGCGTTTACGTGCTTTATTCTTTTTTTCTCTTTGCTAACACTGAGCATAACGAAGGCTATTTGGTAGCGTGTGATATCGGAGGTCAAGGTTTTGTTACTTTGTTATCTGGATGCTTGAGTTTTTACACTGGTGCTGCACTACCTACCACCCCTTATACAGTTTAAATGTGAACAGCTGTAACCGGTGAAAAGGTTTAAAGGGAATCGGTCTGCCACAGCTTCGTGCACCGAATAAGTATAGAGCTGCTCCTTGAGGTACACCCCACCTACTTTCTACAGTTACTGAAAACTCTCATTCGCCTTCCAGTCCCGGCAGCCAAAGTTATCAAAGCAATCCCGGCAAGTATGCTTCAGAAACCAACAACCGGAAAACCCATACTCATCACTAGTGGTCCCGTGCCCCGTGCAGGACAACCGGGTCTTCAGACTCCAGGAGCTATCGTTCGACCGGCTGGTCAGCAGATTGTAATCGTGAATCCTACTGGTAGGTGATTTTTTTTATTTCAACTCGAGGCGTCTGATTCTTATTATTCAACAATCTTCTCTTAGATTCTATCTCCATTCCCTATTGTGTTGAAAATGTGACTAGGCTCGAGATGGCTCAGTGATTAACGCGCTGACGTACGCATCGGAAGGTATGTGGTTCGGACCCAAACTCAACATCTCTAATGCTCCTGTCTAGGTTTGGGCAACCTGGCGGTATCCCAGTTTTGGTGCCTCCTTCCGCTGGCGTGGTAGCTAGGCACCGAAATGGTGCTACAATTGAACGATTTTGCAAATTCTTTTTGAAAGCGAGAGTTTTGATGCCATCCGGTTAGTGAAATCGCCTATCGAAGAGGGTAAAGTATCAGGATTAGGTCGACTGGGTGAACCGTATGGCTTTCTGTATAAATGCGTAGTGAACCGATCTGTTGGCCGTATGTTTAACTACGGAATGGAGGTGGATTTCCTCAGTCCCACCACCTTCTAACCAAGCTCAAAGAATGTCATAGTCAGTAAAATTAATCGTGTCATAGATCTCAAAGTTTTGAATGAATGAGCTGCTTCATCTTCAATAGGTTTCTTTCACTTACACGGCCAGCTTCTGTGTTTACAGGGTTTCAGTGGGTAAGATAAACTAGTCTCCATACAGGCGGAATTCACACTTCCTCCTACCTGATTTGTGCCATATGACAATGTTCATTCGTACACAGTCATCCTCGGATTCACTCGGGTTTACGTCAAATTCACAGGCTCGTACGCAGCAACACGTGCCTCTGCGCAAACTATTTCCATTGTCACATTCATTTTTATTGAATCAGGAATTTCTCATGATCTTTATGCAATCATTCAGTGATAAGTCCTCATGCATGATGGATTTTTTGATAACCTTATGGAAATCTGCTAATTCGGGCGAGAACTTTCATCGGCTGAGGTGGGAACTAACACTCTAGATGAGGATAGCTACATTCCCGACCGCACTTTGTAAACAACAACTCCCTTCTTGAAGCTAGGTTGCGGCAGATGGTTTTGTTTCTCTTAGCCCGATGAAGACAAATAGGATGCATATTTGGGTTAGTTTTGTGACAGGGCGTCTGCAGTAAGCTGGTCACAAAACTTGGTGGTTGTAAATACTGTCCCAAGTTCGCTTTTGTATCAAAGCAGTTTGTCGTTATATGATTTTCCTTTGCAACCAAGGTGACCAGCCCCATCCAGACCAGTCGACCAATGAGTGAATTCATATTGTGAAGTTACTGCTATCACTCATACAAGTGCGAGTTGTCCAGTTCAACGGGATTGTCCATAGCTCAATGGGCACTGGTCACGCAGCTACAACTGTGATGGAAAAATGACACGAGATTAGTGCTGAACACACCTGCTCGCCAGACTGAACGACCCTGTGTTAAAAATGGAAGACTCATCAAAACGATCCCGTGTTTTTAGCGCCGGGACAGTAAATTTACTTGTAGTATTTTACTTCACTTTCTAATGACCACAGATATAGAGTTCTCAACGCATCCTTTGAGCTGCCCAGAAAATCGAATTGTGAATGATAGGTCTTTTCTTCCAGCACATCTCATTAAAAAATCGCATAGTAAACTTCGTCACGGTTGCAACTCAATGCACTAAGGAAAACAGTACCGATCAGAGTTTGCTCAACATGGACTGCACTCTTGACCATGCCACCTATTGTCTCAGACCCATCTGTGTTCGAATTGTGAAAAAACGCCGTTGTTCTTGCAGTACACGAGCAATTCTTTGGTACACGTATTTCACTTGGTCACCGGAAAGCTTTCTGGCCCACAATTTAGTCGATGTGTAGCCTCCACTACGTTACTATCAGAAGGCATCATTCACAAATAGGACAAGATAAGCACCGTCAGGCAGTGCATGGAACTTAGCATGTGGCGTCTCTGAATGCCTACCGAATAAGCGGTGCTGTGAACACTCTTGTCATGCTGTTTTACAGGAACCTTTAATTTCGCAACTATGAACGTTTACCGTTATGACAAAACATCCAGAACACACATCGGAAATACACCTAACCGCAACATTCATGTTCTCTCCAGTGTTGGTTGTTTCACTTACTTTGAAGGGACTAACTGCTGGGGCGGAATGAGTCAACATCAATTGTTGTCCGCCAGAGGGTAACTGTGATTGTACTTATGGTCCGAACAGATTAATTTGTCGTCGGTTTACGCTGTTCCCGGCTAAGTTCTGCCTTAGTGATGGCACCATTTACTGTTGTGTTCGGTCAGAATTTCGAAGAAAAAACATCGTGGGGCACAAAGTCAGGAAAGCATTTGCAAAAACCAAAGGTTATTTTCGACCTAGTCATTTTTTGGGTGTTTAGCACTCGATTTAGTAGTGCTTTATGTGGGCGCTTTGGGACAGTTTTGGAACTGAATTATGTGTCACAAATATCCCCTTTGAATTTCTGCGCTGCCAAATCCTAGTTTTCCTTTGATACTGAATTAGTGGCACTTGATCTCTAGTTCTTTAAAACACCCAGCTGCTTTCATCCTCATCCACACTGGTTATCATGGTATGACGCATGTGGTCCGTTTTGTGTTGTTAACATCTAACATGTATACGCTTGTTTCGAGAAATATACTCATTTGCAAATCCATTTGGTTTTAACGAGAGATTCAGTTGAGTCTCTGGTGAAAACCAAATTGATTGGCAAATGAGTGTATTTCTCGAAAACAGTCCAATTTGGGTTCAAGTAGAACATAAGGTAGACGGAAACTCGGGGACTACGCCCACCTGGTGAGTCCCAAGAAGGGCGAAACCGGTCGTGGGCTGTCAAAAAGTTCTCCCAACCTTGTGAGTAGTTTCCTTTATGAAAATATACGCTAATTTATTCTACAATATACTTCCTTTTTTGCTGGCGTGCCACATATTTGTCCTCTGAAACTCCGTTCAACTCAGCACAGGTGCCACCACATTTCGGCCCCAATATGGTTTATTTTTTCTGTTCCTCCTCTATTAAAGCCGGAGCTTCATCGCTGCCGGGTGGCGCATCTACCGGTGGTCACCAAAATGTATTTTTCTCGTCTCCCGGTGGCACTCAGGCCACGCGCCCTCAAGTTACACCCAGCCAAGTAACCCTTGTACGACGTGAGTCCATAGAGTCGACTACATCAGTTCCACAGCGCTCCACCGATGTCGATCCGGGGAATGATTTCGATGGAGAAAATATGCACATTCCACAGCTTGACGGGACGGCAGACGAAGAGGATGACACTTCTAAGGCGGGAACGAAGCAGGCTGGTACATCCGGCCGGCGTGGTGGTCGTAGCGCAACGTCCTCTCGACTGGGACTCGAACTAGGCATCGTTCGTGAGGTGAGTGAAGGCCTTTTCGTTGGCGCGTACTTATTGTAAGCGATAAATAATATTAACTTTTTTACTGTTAGATAAATATTCCAGCACAATGCGTTTGTGAAAAAGCTCAGTTATGGTTCGCGTGTATTTTTTTGCCCTCACTTCACTAACACTGTTCTCCCTTACCAGGACTTGGCATGCAGTTCCGAACTTCCAGCGTCGGTGGCAGACGAAGCCGCCGCAGAGCTGATGGCTGAAGCGAACGACGACCCTACTCTGGCCATATTATCTGAAGATAAAACGGAAGTCGCAATAGAAGACATACATCACGATGCTAGTGAATTCGACCCATTGATCGAGGGCGTTGAGAACAAAGGAGCTGAGGGTGAAAGGGCGGGTTCTACGTCAAACGTTAGAGAGGCCGATGAAGTTGGTGACGAAAGCGGAGACGGTGTGGAGTCTAAAAACATGACAAAAGGTGTAGTTGACAGACCTTCTTTTGTCATTCGCATACGAATCATTGCGTGTTTCTTATCATCGGTAAAGCCATTGCACTGCCTAATTATTACCCTGTACCTTGATGTTCAGTGATGGAGACGCTGCAAAATATGGCCCCTAATCGATTTTAGTGGCATTTTTGTCAGTTTCCGTCCAGGTTGCCCGAATGAGTGTCTGGAGGTGTAGGCACTTTGGATTGATCGTGGTCGGCTAGCTCTAATTCCCTTCCACTTTTATCCTTTTCTTCACAATAAGGCTTTCAGAAAATTATGGTTGTACGCCTGCGAAGTATCAGTGTTATGTTGATGATGATGTTCAACATTAGTATTGTTTACGATAGATCAGAATCTTGGTAGCTCAGGTAGTGTAAATGGTCCTTGGTTCGGTTAGTCTTCGTTTGCACAACCAGCAACCTATCGCTGCGCCACGCTGATGATGTCACCTCGAATGGTGATGAAACGTCTGCAATCAAATTGCTCAGCTCAAGGAACAAACCATGGTGTTGTTGTCCCTATCGAGGGTGTGGTGATGGCAATGGATGTTAGCTAAGATCATTACTCTGTCGGCACTTATGGGTTACCCAAACTGCCAGCAAGCGATTTCTCCTCACTGTCTAACCGCTTTGTTTCCGAAACAATATGCAGCAGAAACAATCGCCGTGAGCCTAGCTAGCTTGACTTCCAGTAGGTGTGGATTCAACGCCAGTCGAACTCATGCTTCATGAAAGATTGCATGCAACACACGTATTCTGCGTCTCTCCCAACGCCTCTTTTCCAATACTAACATGAGGTTCCGCCCCTTTCTCTCGACAAGATACCTCACTAATCAGATTAAGGCTGAAACAGGGCTGCGGATTATTCACAAGTAATCGGGCCCTCTTTTTGACGCGATAAAGAATGCAAGCTGAATCTGGGTCGCGTATTCATAAACTTCTGTCACTGACCCGGACACGCGTAGTATGTACATGCGCTAATAACAGGCAGTTTATACAGGGGTTACGGATTTGTGTTCCGTTATGACCTCTTCTGTCTTACCGCTGATAGAAGAAGTATGAAAGTGCTCAAATGCACATTTAACCTGAGGCTCTGAGTGGCATGGTGCTGATTCACAGAGCAGAAATCCAATCTGGTATTATGGTCGATATCCTTTGCGTTTACAAACTATGCTTATTCCGCTTTAATAACCATGGACAGACTAGACTGCTTACTATTGTGTTGAAAAAGTAAACTCCGACTCTTGATGCAGATCATCTGCCGGGTTTTGGAGTGGTCGAAAATTTTCCAGGCACGGGAAAGCCTTGGGACCAGGTTGTCTCTTCCGCCTATCGGCACTATTTTATTTCTGGTTGATGGTGAATGAGTTTTGCGATGCCAGTCGAAGTGTTGTAAACCTTCCTCTACAGTTATTTTATATTGTTCTCACGCGGTATGTCCCTTCGACACGCACCTCCAGGGTGTGATCACCACCCCTCTTGAGTGACACTTGGAGATTGTTGCTGACGAACCACGCTTTTGTGGCTCGCGTGCAGGAGAAACTGTACTGTATTTTTTAATCTTTTAGCTGTAAAACAGGAGTAGCCACTCACCAATTGCATGTATCTCTCATGGTTTTCACAGCTGAGGATCAAGATCAGAATGCAAGTTCCAATGATCCGTTGGAAACTCTGGCTCTCGCGGCAGCTCGGCGAAGTGGGGATGGTCTTCCGCCAGGTTTGTTTTTCCAAATGTCCTTGTTTGGATAACTGGCTTGCCTGAATTCAACAGTTTTGTGTCCCTCTGTTATGTCACACTGATTGCTTTTTACTCGCCAAATAGCAACTTACCTCAACTGATGAAACGAGTCGCTAACAAACAGGCGTACGATTATCACCGAATAAAAGATGCATTTATCTAGTGTTCGATCACACATGGTACATGAACCGGTTTCTTTGAACGCCCTGGCTAGAAACTAAGGCTCATGTATACATTAGTCGATTTGTAACAAGCCCATTGTTTATGTATGGTCCCATGTTTCAACGAGGTAATGCTCTAGTTTGTTTATAAAAAAATATCACTTGATTGAGTTCTGTAACTGTCCGAATCGAATGCTGTGTTCGAAAAGTGGCCTTTGTACTCGGGACGAACACCTCTATTCTCTTCTTGCTAAGAAAGCAATGTTAGTTCAGTTGTGGTTCGATGACTTTTCTGTACAAACTTGAGCTCTGATAAAGCAGTCAGGACGAGACATCACTGTAATAAATCTAAGGAAATTGTCAGCGCAAGTGTCTCGCTCATCGCCTTACGATTGTTTGCTTAAACCTAGCATTTTCTGTTTGTCGATTCAGGTGAGAATAATCTACCCGGGTCCCTGGAAGAGTTGCCCGAAAGGGCCAACTTAGAACTGGCAACACAAGCGTCTCCAAATATTGATTCAGCTGCACATGTCTCCCCCTACGCTCCAGCATCAGCTGAGGACGGTGTGATTGGTGGGACGGAACAATCGCAGCAGTCAGGTGTAGCGGCCAGCGCTGAGTTATCGGGCCAAACTTCAGGGGCGAATACGGGTCGGTCTGTCACGGTGGACACCACAGGAATTCGTCCAGTGGTTACAGTCTCAACTGCTACCTCCCAAACACGTTCTGTGACAAGTTTGGCAAATGCCAATAGCACCACATTGTCCAGTCCGTCCCTGTCGAGCAGTGCATCGTACGGCGGAAGCAGTGTTCATCGAACTGACTGTTCGTGGCACGACGTGGGTGTGATCAAATCGACAAGCTACACGGTCACAATGTATTCGGCTTACACCAACGATGTTGGTGTGAACAGAGAGGTTATTTGTTGTTGTTTTTTTAACGCTTATTTGGCTAATTTTGTCTGGTCATAATTTACGCATCTGGGACGCTGACTGATCGCTTTTTTTGTTGACTTCTCTTGACTTTTATTGTACTCGCCATGTAGGTGTCGCACGTAGAAAATCTGTTTACCATACTTCCGCGTCGTAATTGCCGAACTTCTTGGCTGGTTCTTGGAGCTCATTGGGACAACGCTAGTATTCGTACTGCCTGTGACCGCAGTGTGGCGGGATCCTCTCATAGGAAGATTCGTCTCCATGGTTTGAAGGCAGATCGTTAGCTTTTCCGACCGCCACGTCTCCGCTAACTTCGCCGTTGGACATACGGCTCACTCACTTTAAAAGTCGACTTCCAAATAGGTGTAGATAGATGCACGTGCACGAAGACTAGCTGGATCAGCAGTAAATTTTATCCAAGCAATATGATAAGAAGACGCAAACTAACACGCATGCATTCTGCGCTGCATCGTCACTAAGTACCAACAACCAGAAACTTATTTTTGTTGTCTGTTAAAAAGGGGATCAGGACTGGTAAGTCACTCTTCGTCCCTCGAGCGCCCAGTCGACACGTCATGTGGATCCCGTAAGTGGCCCTTGTCTAAGTGCTGACCAGCCGCTTGTGGCCCAACGGTCCAACGTTCAAAATAGTGGTCGAAAGGTCGCGGGTTCGGCACACCCTAGAGTCTCGTATGGTGCGCACCGTTGATGATTCCCAGTGAGGAAATAGCTGTACATTGCGCCTCAGATTCTCAGCATAGACTGGCTTCACTTATAGCACAAAATCACCGTTGAAAACTATCGTATATCCTCACACTAACAACAAAGGATGAGACAATTACAAAACCTCTGCTATGTCGGGTTCGTTTGAATGTCATACAATTTTTTGGACGCACAAGGAGGGCTCTTATCGAATGACTGATGTGACATTGGTGGTTTTCAGAATAGTGGATACTGATGGCAAATCAATCCGGTAACATGTAGCTAAAAGCTATATGCCGGTCGATTGCTGTGGTTGCTGACGCTGAGGCAGACATGTCAGTTTTCAACCGATATCCGACCCAAAGAGCCACGTGCCCCTTCGTTTCAGTGTTGAAAGGTATGTCGGTTCCACTTTCTCCGCAGTAACGGTAAGCCTTAGTACAGGAGTCTCACTCAAGCCCAAAATCCACTTTTGAAGACCTCAGGATCCCTCAGGATCTAATGAAAGCGCTCGCATTTCTAAATGATTCATTCGAAAGTCGCAAGATTTTTCCCCCTCTAGAATCACTCCTCAACATAATATGCCACATGTCCGTATCTCCTGACTCTTTCCAAATTGATGCCCTTCCTGCTAATCGCTATCTACTGCTTTGTTAGGCTTTTTTTTACACACGCTGCCAAGTATAGGACCCACAAAAATTCAGCACCGTGCTCACTTCACATGATCAAAACGAGCCAACAAGATCATCTGGTCCGTTTCTTCTAGCATTTGCTCCTCAGGATCCGTTCTTGAATGACTGCTCACCATTTCACCCCACCCAGGACGTACATCCACAAAACAATATTGTCTTTTTCGTTCCCTGTTACTTTTTTGTCCCTATTTCCGGTAATCTTAGTTTTCCAGGCATGCCCTGCTCAGAACTTAATTTGTCCGTTTTCCGACTCTATTCCTTCGAATTGTGATTTATGTTGCCCAACCCTAGGCTATGGATGCCATTCAAGTATACTGCTATGTTCTCAGAGGTAATTTCCCTCAGGATCTAATGAAAGCGCTCGCATTTCTAAATGATTCATTCGAAAGTCGCAAGATTTTTCCCCCTCTAGAATCACTCCTCAACATAATATGCCACATGTCCGTATCTCCTGACTCTTTCCAAATTGATGCCCTTCCTGCTAATCGCTATCTACTGCTTTGTTAGGCTTTTTTTACACACGCTGCCAAGTATAGGACCCACAAAAATTCAGCACCGTGCTCACTTCACATGATCAAAACGAGCCAACAAGATCATCTGGTCCGTTTCTTCTAGCATTTGCTCCTCAGGATCCGTTCTTGAATGACTGCTCACCATTTCACCCCACCCAGGACGTACATCCACAAAACAATATTGTCTTTTTCGTTCCCTGTTACTTTTTTGTCCCTATTTCCGGTAATCTTAGTTTTCCAGGCATGCCCTGCTCAGAACTTAATTTGTCCGTTTTCCGACTCTATTCCTTCGAATTGTGATTTATGTTGCCCAACCCTAGGCTATGGATGCCATTCAAGGACACGGAGGAATCGGTCCGAACGGATTGACTACACAAGGTCCTAAGATCCATCTTGCCCCCGGGACTGCCTACAAATTCCGTGTGGCTGGGATAAATGCATGTGGCCGCGGTCCATGGTCGGAAATTAGTGCTTTTAAAACCTGCTTACCCGGCTATCCCGGCGCACCTAGTGCGATAAAGATTACTAAGTCCGAAAGCGGAGCTCATCTTACCTGGGAACCACCACAGAACACGGCCGGAAGGATCACAGAGTATTCGGTCTACTTGGCAGTGAAATCACAGCCTGCGGGTCAAGATTTGGCTGAAAGCAAGGTGAGCAATAGCCGCTGTGTTTAATTTGATGCTTTCGAACCGTAAGTTCAGCAGTCGAGTTTGGGGAGATCAGTTGTGTTACCGGAGCACTGAAAACATATGATTGATGAGTCAGTAGATTAATCGGGTCTAAGTTTCCGTCTAACCGAACACAACATTTGATATTTCCACGACCGTCTAGGAGGTTATGACTTTCATGTTCTGAGGTGACGTCCTTGCCCCAGGTGGATGACTCCACTCGCTAAACGATACTGTGTTTCTACCCATTGGTCGAAACCACTAACCGTCCCAGTGCTCAAGGTCGAACAAACGACTGTTTGCGGCACTGACTTCACCTACAGTGCATAAGACGCTTCCTAGTACCACCCTTCGAAAGCTTTCTGCCACGCGCGAGGGGCAGGTGGGACTCTGTGGTGGACGCAGATATGTGTGTCAAGTATTCGCATTTTCAACTGAAATTCCATCTTGTTAGTGAGACCAACCTGTGCTGAAAAGCCGAAAACTATTGTACTGCTGTTTCATCCTTGTTGGAAATCATCAACAGCGGGGATCTCACAAGAGTCAGAGTTTCCAACCCGCGACCCTCCGGACAGGGGTTGTACTGTCGAACTCAGGCAGCTGATCAATACTTAGAGCACAGCGCCGCTCATCCTTCGATCACAGAAACCATATCACGTGGTCACATATTGACTGGCTTCTCAAGTGACTACTTCTCCTATAGGAGTCCCACTCATCTTGTGAAATTATTCTTCCTCTGAGCAACTTTTACCACCAATCGATAAACGATGATGAAGCAGTAGAGATGATAGAGTTTGTCCGTTCTGCTAGGCTTGGGAAAAGCACCGCGCAGATCACCCTTCTTTCAATTCAATTCAGTTTATCAGCTATAAACCGTGTGCCATTGGCACATTGGTTCCAGCTACTAGTTTCGACCACATTAAAAAACGGTAAAGTGGAACATACCACCAAGTCTTAGAGGCGAAGGAATGTTCGGAAATTGGGTAGCTAAGCATTGAAGTAGAGATGATAGAGTTTGTCCGTTCTGCTAGGCTTGGGAAAAGCACCGCGCAGATCACCCTTCTTTCAATTCAATTCAGTTTATCAGCTATAAACCGTGTGCCATTGGCACATTGGTTCCAGCTACTAGTTTCGACCACATTAAAAAACGGTAAAGTGGAACATACCACCAAGTCTTAGATAGAGGCGAATGTTCGGAAATTGGGTAGCTAAGCATTGAAGACGATAACTTTGATGCACGAGCGCTACTGACTGCGCGATTGGGCTATTTCCGCCAATCTCACTAAACACTGTTGACTTGAGCCCCAGGGTCCCCGTCCAGGGAGGCGTCAGTTGCCCACCCGATCAAGTTTACTGATTAGTGTTTTCGTACTTCGTTGCCAGGTCATACAATATCCACCTCTCTATCGCTTCCACTCAGCACAGGACTGGGAAAAGAGCTCTGTGAGTCAGACGGTCTTCTGACATGCGGAGTACATGACCCAACCAGCGCAGCCTGTGAAGCGTGAGTAATTCATCTATCGGGGGAGAGATCCTTCTTCCTGAGATCATCTGGCGAACCTCACCATTACAACTCTGATGTTCCCACCAGACCTGACCAATGCTGCTTTTTAGTTAAGCATATATATATATATANGTCTCACTGCAATCATTATATATATATATATATATATATATATATATATATGCCCGTCAGACGTCACACTCCATGGACCCGGCAGAAAGTTCGACTTTCAAAGATTGATCGAATTTGTTGTCTAAGATTATGATCCAGCATTTCAGTTATGGACAATCCTACTGAGGAAGCGGGGTTCATTCTGTCGAACGGTTGCTGTAGTGTGATTTTATCTTTCTTTTAGGTGGAAAGCTTAGCCCTTCCTTTGTATATGCCGCGCGAATGCTTATCATACGTAGTCGGCCGATGTACGTTAGAGTAGAATGCAACCAATGCTTGGAAGCTCGAGGCAGAAATGTCTGAGAGATAACGTATTCTGGAATTTGATTAAATTAGGTGCTAAAGTGTTTGTTTCCTCTTTTTGGTAGCTGAAAGAGTATTATTCAGTGGATGTAGGTATGCCGGGAACCGTTTGTGAAATCATGAAAAAACTGAAAACATCGTGATGAAAAACTCCTCCAAGCCAGCGGGACCTGTGCGTTTCAGTGCCGTCCCAAGAGACAGTCTCATTGCCGGTACCTGTACGGTAAATGTACAAATTGAAATCCGAATACATGCATCTTGGTAATTGTCCTATGAAATACAAATGTGATTCAGTAAATGACGAAACGGTCAAGTCGCTAAACACCGCACAATTGCCCGTGAGCGAATTTGGTTGCAAAACAGTTAAACCCCGCTTGAGCGTTGCCTTTTCCGGTTAAAAAATCCTGTTCATGGGCTGCGCTCCAAGCTGTAGCTAGGTAGTTGCTAGCGTGCGCGGTAGGTGGCAAAAGTTCCACTGCTGTCAGTTGGTGTGCCCAAAGAACTTCGTCACACCCTAGTAGGTGAAATCGGCATCCCTCATGTAACCTCAGTTGCTCGCTCCCCATCGCTTACATTTGCATCCTCAGTTTGTCCACATTTTGAACAAAGTTACGTGCAACTTGAACCCCACGTAGTGGTGATGGAGAAGAGGATGTATTAATACCCGTTAGCAAAGGATTTGAACTAAAACGTTCTTGATTCGTTCGCACCAGTAGGTGGCACTAACTCTGTTTGTCGAAACGCTTATATAAGCCTTTTCAAAACGTTCTATTACAAAATCCGTAAGGACAGTGTTTGGGGGAAAATATTTGAAGTGATGTATTTCGAAAGTTCGTGCATCTCTGCAAACCAAAGTTCATGGCTGAAAAGAATTAAATTTAGCGTCCAACTGCCCAACGTTTATGAGGGAAACATGAGTTTGAAAACAACAGCAATCTGCGAAGCACGTCCAACAAAAATGTGGGCATGTACGATGAACTGCGACTTATGCACACTGCAACATTCTGGGGATTTCTATTGAGAAGTATAGAGCTGGTTGGAGCGAAACGAGGCTTGACTGTTTAAAGATATGCGATTTTGGGGTGCGACAAACGAGATCACAGAGACTACGTACGAGCCAGTTACACCTGAGACAGTTGCCTAGGGTAAATTCCCGCGGTGACATTACGAACCGTAGTTTTGACGTTTTCGATAGCCGAACTCTAGTTAGCTCGTGCGTTCATACTTGCCCCTCCCTTAAACAATGAACTAACCCTTCTAACTTATTTTACGGGCGTGACTTCTCCGTACAGCTCCTGACCATACTACACCATTTTTTCGGTTTTTATCAGATCACCTCAACACCCCCTGGCATGGCTTTCGTTCGCGTTTACTGTGGACAAGTACCAGCCGCTACCGTCACCGCATCCACTTTGGCCAACGCACATTTGGACCTGAGTTCAAAACCAGCAGTCATTTTCCGGATTGCAGCACGAAATGAAAAGGGTTACGGACCTGCCACTCAAGTTCGGTGGCTCCAAGATATATCTGCTGTTCCAGCAGCAGCTGGTTCCCAGGCTTCTGGTGCTGCACCCATTGGAACTCCTCAGCTTTTGAAACGAGCACCAAGTGTCGGTGGAACTCAAGATGGGTAAGTTGCTGGCTGATTGTCTCGACTGTAGTCGGAAGTCATAGTCAACTTCAGCGTTTGATTTTGTGGAAACTCAGAACCCAAGCGCAGAACTGGATACGTTGGAGCTATTCTTGGTGCTAGACATTCTTTGTCGTCTGATGATCCTCCTGGTGACAGGGTCGGATTAACCGTTATCATAGCTGGATACGAATACTCCATCTAACCCGGCACTGTTGTATACACAGATAAGATCACTGCGTCCGCAAACAGCGTGCTGCTTCAATCTGATCGGCAGTAAAACAGCACCTTGCTTGTCGGATCCGGAGACGTGCCAATTCCTTATCCCCCTATTGGGCTCCATTTGCACTTTCACACTACGTGTGCGGTGCTTTAGAGGCTACGACCAATTTCTCGAAACGCCAATTATGGTAAACCGCTGATTTTACCTCATAAAACTTTTATGCTTCTTTACAATAAAACCAAAATAGGCTTGGTATGTTGTCGAACCTGTCCTGGAAATTTGGGGAATCACGTAATTGTTCTTTCCATAAGTGTCAGTAATGTAAGATTCCGGAAAATAGTCCCAGAATGCCCAAAACCTGTGGAGTCGCTCAAATCTCACCAAGATTGCTGTCAAGCATCCAGAACACAAAAGCCAGCTTCCGATCGAACGCTCAAGCAGTCAGTCGGCTCACCAACGGCCGACGTCAAGCATCCGAACACAAAAGCCAGCCTCCCAACGAACGCTCAAGCAGTCAGTCGGCTCACCAACGGCCGACGAGTGTTCAGGCAAGCCACAGGAATATGACCAACGATGATGAGTGTCTAGGTACTTCACAGAAGCACAACCGACGATGGAAGGTTTTCAGGCACGGTCTATGGTGACAGGCATTCACCAGACGCTGATCAGACTGGATCGATGTCAAAAAAGTACCCTTTAAATGGCGCAGGGCTGTTGTAATTTGCACGTGCTTGTTCGCAGTAAAGCTGTCATGTATTTTTCCGACATTAAGTCACTGGAGCGGGGACAGCAGTTAGATGCAACAATGAGACATCCAGATTGACACCACAGACAGATATGGATATGTTTTAGGGATGTTCCAAAACGCGTCTGTACAGCAACGAATTGTCTTGCCTTTGTTTATACCCCTGTTTTTACCATAAATCCTCTTCCAGTTCATACGGTACTCCAGGGAAACGCCCCAGAGCGGACGAGCAGTTCTAGTCATCTGATGTCTAAACACTCGAAGCGGCGAACGAGGCCGATGTCAGTTGTCATGCATTTTCTTTGGTCTATTCTTCACCTTGTCACATCCTCATCGCCACCGTGAACAAGTGTCGAGTCGAACCAACCAACGTAACGATCGACATGATATCGATTCCAAAGTGTGGTACTGTTATTTGTTTCACAGGAACGCATATAATTTGTATATCCCCAAGCTTCTTTCGATTCATTCGTTTCATCCTTATGCCGCATATTATAAATAATCCCAGTATCCTGTTTGTACATATTGCATCATTCTTATTTTCGTGATCGCCATTTTCTGTCTGCAACCCTGTACAATAAGCCGATTTCAATTAAAATATACCAATTTATCTGTCATCGGTACTCTTCCTTCCAGGACTCGTGACAGCGAAGCTGGTAAAATACTAAATCAGACCATATTCAGACGTTCATTTGCCGTATTTCCCCGGTTGTAGAGACAAAATATATATTGGCCATACGACAGAAGTTGGAGGTAAATCACGGTTAGTGGTTAGTCTGGCATCCGTGCCTTCTGGTTTGCGTATCTTTGTATCCATCGGGAAGGGAGTGGAGATTCGCCAATGGCGTGGATGCATAACTGAATTAACTATTGAGTCTTGGTCCCAATGTATTCAGGGGATTGCCCAAATACAGTTGTTGTTAGGAGTGGCCATAAAGTAGGTTTAATACGTGTGTTTGGTCGTCAACCCCCCCCCCGTCAGCTGCAACACCCTTTCGGTGCCTGGCTGCCATGCCACGCGAAAGAAGCACGAGGGCTTGGATACTGCCAAGTTGCCCAAGCCTAGACAGGGGAAGTCGAGAGGCTTGGTTGTCGAAAATATCTACTGCTGCTCGCCCTTATTGAGGCTTACCAAATGGGCGTAAAGCGGACATTTTAGTTGGCGGCTGAAAGCACCATCGACAGCTCTTATGTAATCTGTGAGTTGGATTTGAAAATCCTAAGCCATGCCCTGGCTATCGCTAGGTCTTCCGTGCGGATCGTCAAGGCAGGTCGAATGATCAGACTGTTCGTATATTCCCCTCCTCTGAATCAGTCGCAAGCTGTTCACAACAAAGCTCCGGTAACACTGGGAAAGTGGATCAAGCCCGCAGGGTGTCCAGGAAGTTTCACGACTTCTAAGAAGGGATTAAGACCGTGGTGTACCACCTAGAGTCAAAACCACCCGTTGTTTCATTCATCCTATGTTCATTATTGATACAAACTAGCTGTGCTGTGCAGCAGTTGGAACAAAAGGACAGCTACAAGTCTCTGCATACCCGTGAGAAAATTTATCGCTATTCGTCTTGCGCGAGGAAGCTACTAAACGCTAAGCAGACCTTAGAGACTAAAATTCGGAAGTACGATCAAACCCGCAAATTCCGTTCGTTTCTCCACTTCGTGCAAGGACCTTCCTACACCTGCGGGCTTTCCCCACCTCATTCTGCAATCAGCTCAATCGACGCGTACAGTATTTGACCGGACTGATGCAACAAGTCTGCGTACCGAGGTCGTGTCGGTGATTTGAAGAGAACAGAAACTAATATGTCATCCCCAACTAGGTGACAGGTATGACGGTTGTGACATCAGAAAACAAGAGTATGCAGCTAATTCGATTGTAAGTCAACCAACGAGGCTATACATACAGACACCAGACATTTATTTGCCACAATTCGTGATGTTACGATGGACATGGACAGTCTGATGGTTTACGGTCCCAGCTCGTGGAGGGTAAATTGTTTCTTCGGCGCCAGTTGAAGAAGAAAGCCGCTGAACAGGACTGTCATGATCATCGTTAAGCCTGGCAGCCAATCCCCCGTGTATTGTGCGTAGTTTCAACTGTACAAGGTTCGTCGACCTGATGAAAAATCACGGATTTTTGCACAGCATTTAAGTGATAAACGATGGTGACTCAACCGAGTGCTCGTACTTACACTGAGAAGTGAAAGTCCTCTTTACATAAAGGAAACTACTCACAAGATTGCTGGAAACTTCGACAGCCCACGACCGGTTTCGCCCTTCCTGGGGCTCATCAGGTAGGCGCAGTCCCCGAGTTTCCGTCAGCCTTCTGTTCTACTTGAACCTCTGGTGTTTCACATAGTAGCGAATTAAGCTAATGGATTTATCGAAAGACGACTATGAATAGTACCAACGGACAGAAGTACCTCCTACAAATATCGTAACTCAGTTACGGGTCCCTTGTATTGATAACGTGGATGCGAATAGTGACTGGTCATCACCAAGTATGTAAGGCACATAAGATGTGTACGCCCACTGAAAATAGGACAGAATATAATATCGGTCATCTAGGTAGTCATCTCTTTGGCACAAATGTGGATGTTTCATCTCGTTCCAGGTAGAATTATTCCGACATACAAACACAGGTAGCTGAACGTGGTAAAAAAAAGACCCAAAAATGTAGCATTTATATACAGCTGTACAAGGTACCGGTACACTCAACCAGCGTCAGAATCAGAGCTTGCCGAGTCATCTTGGAACTTCACCGGGTCTGCAAACGATTCTGCCTTGCGTTCCTTTTGCTTCAAACGCCTCTTTTTCAATATCCGTTTCCTTTTATCCTTTTCGCGAATTGACTGAAATGAACCAGTACATTGAAAGTGTGATCAATCACGAAATTCAGAATCACCCCCAACTTCTGTTAGCCAGGTCAAAAATCAATGAAACTCATCAGCGAAGAAACTCATGGTCCGTCGGGTTTCTAAATTCCCAGAACGGCCTTATTAGGAATATCGACCACTGAGGACAACACTTTAACGCAGTGGCGTTGTCACAGCCACAACGCACGACGCGTAGTAACAGAACCCCTAAGTATGTGTTGGGTTTCTCTATGGCACTATTAATGTAAAAACGTCGACTTGTTGAATACACAAAAGTTGACCGTATATACTCATCTGTAGGAAATAATTTACTTGGAGTACAAAGGTAGAAGCAATGCGAACAAAACAAATTCAAGCAACTGGGGCAGTTGGGTGTGCACCGGGGCGGACTTGGTGGCCTCAAGGTGAGATTTAGAAAATGGATCGAACAGTTCGTGAACATGCATAACTCAAAAGCAGAGCGCGAGTCACTGGTGGAGACGAAGAGGCGTGGGTAACTTGCCACATCAGAATAAAGGATGATACAACTCTCGCCAAGTCAGCGACTGTCTCGGCTCTTGTACCCTACCTACCATCATATTTTTAGAGAACTGTCCTCGACACAGGTGGTCCGGGTCCACTCGTGCCACAAGCGCCGTCTCTCCAACAAATATCCCTCTTGAGAACGCCGCCCACCACTTTGACATTCAAAATCCTTAAGCCGTTTGGACTCACTTCACTACTATCCTTTTTTGGCAAAGTGTAGCTTCACCAGATACCAGGACCAAGCCCCCACACTTCAGACCTTGGGACGCCCTGAGCCGCTTGGTGTGCATCTGCTACATCGGGGGATATTTTATCAGATGGAAAAGATCAGCCGAATAACACATTTCTCTCTATCCAGTCTCGCATCGCGACACCAAATTGTCCCAACTGGGCATCGCAGAACAGATTCGCATGAACAATAAACTGTTCTGAGCAAGTGGCATCTAATCGTTTCTGACAGACAGCAGTAGAACCATGGATAGGTTGTTCGAAATCCATTCAGCTCTTCGTTCAAGTATTTTTCCTTACATAAACATGCGAGGATGCGTCGCAGTGACCTAATACTTCGCTCCAATGCGCCAATACGGTTCCTAGACACCGGCTGGTTAAATTCATTGCATCTCCAAGGTCATAAATCGATCCGATATTTACCCCGGTTCCACTGTTGGTCAAAAATGTTGGCCTAGTTGAGCATCTACGCAGTTGGATGCATGTACACTCGGAAGCTACTTCAGCCGTATTGTTTCCCGACGTCAAGTGTTCTCACTAAGTAGTTGACGACGGTTTGAAGCGAACCATAAAATCTGGAAGATACGTTGCGGGCGTAGTGGAGAAGAACCAAGGAATGTGTTCGAAATAGTTTCCTGTACATCCAAGCACGAGCCATCAGTTCTGATCTTTTTATTGAAGGGGACTTCAGGGGTGTCACCCGCGCTTTCGAGTGAATGAGTGAACAGTAAGGAACTAAAGTCTCCCCGATAAATCGAGCACGTGATTCCTCTCTGTGGACGGCACGTCACAAAAGTTCGGCGTACGAAACATCACTGCGCTCTTCCACCTGTACGCATCTCAACGTTATCAGGTCATGAAGAGTATGGAGACCAGATATCCAGTGGTTATAACAAATGCGATCGGTACAATTCAGCGGGCTACTCCAGCCCAGTCCACTTTTACACAAGGAATGCAATGGGGAAGCAATACGTTTAAAAGCTTCACCGTTAAATGAGATCTTTGATACATATTGCTGTTCAGTGGTACACTCCGATACTCAGCAGCACAGCATACCCGGCTCTTTTCTGACTTAATGATGGGATGGTGAGGAAGATATCATTTCTTCACACTTGATGACAGTGATGTCACTCGTTTGATGTATCCTCTGTTCACATATGCGCGAAGCGCTTGGTCATGTTTTCCGTGCCAAAATGGATCTTTACATAGTCCGGTTTTTATAGTAGCTAGTTGTTTTTGCGCCACCTGATTATTATGGGTTGGGAAGGCGCACTATCTCTGCATGATAGCAGTAGCTAGTAACGTTCATCCACTAACAGGGTTCGTCCCTTATCATCATCAGGGCTCGCAGGTCCTCCGGGGATGCAAACAGTACATCGTACAGTCGTCCAAAATCTGTTCGATACCCTAGGTCTGGCCGGCGACAGTGGCTGACCACATTCTTCCTTGTCCGAGCTTCCAACGGACTTCTAAGCATCCAATTGAATAGTGTCTTCATGGCAAATGGCTGCTCTCTACTACCAAAGCAGTGATCAGGTACCCAGCGCGCTTCGGAAATATCCCACTCGATTTCAGACAGTTCATCTATCATTAAAGCCCGGTCATTGAATAGTCATCCCTCTAATATATGGTATCGCCTCGATAGGTAATCTGTCCAGAACAAAGGCCCTGTCGATATCTGTTGGCTGTATATCATCAGTTGATAAGAGCTTAAAGTTATTAACTTCAGAGCTGCATCCCTTAGCACCGCATCAGCGGTCAGATGAACAGGTCGAAATATGGTTCCTTTATTTACAAGGAGATCTCGCTTGATTACCATTATATCAGGTCACCTGAGAAAGTGTACGGCTTTGAACTCTATGTTGAAGTATCAAAATTGACAGAAGTAACACCTGATAGTGCTGAAAGTTGTTGCGAAGTTGTTCCTACCTCATTGATCGGGGTTTGGATCATGCAACGGCCTGTGATGTCGGCCTCTGAGAC